ATCGAGGCTCTAACACTGTCAACAACTATTGTTTATTTTCTGGGCGTAGACATAATAATGCAACATATAAATAAATATACATCAAAATTACAAAATTCCAACTGTGCTGTAATTCCGTACCGTTAAAACACCGTCAAATTGGATGTGCATCTTTTACGCAAACAAACTTAATTATGAAAACTATCATTTTTTAATGTGTTTCCGTTTTTATTTGTTCGTCTGGTCGACTTTGGTTCACTGGCCGGAAACCAAACTTTGATTTTAAACTTAACATCTATTTTTTTTTTACCAAAATATTGTGTTTATTTATTTTTATTCCAAAACATAAGCGCACGCATTTTTATTTGGTAACATGCCAAAACACCACGTTATCCACGCTACCCTACAATTTTGTGTTTCAAGAAATTGCTCAGGAAATTTTAGGAAAGTTTTTCTTTGGAACTTTGCCGTATTTTTTGCAGTAGCTGATTATAATATACTTTTATTGTATATAGGATCCAATAGTACATTTTAGACTTATAGATGAACATTTTGACAGTATAATATTATAGTAACATCTACGAGATGCCTGTCATTATATTATTTGTGTTGATTGCATAGATATTTTGTTTTCATTATGTATATTAGTTGTATAGTTGTTTAATAAGTTAATATTACATTGACGATAGTAATAATAAATATTACATTTCAATACACGACGATAATATCGTTTAAGTTTTGGTAATTTTTCATAGAGTTTGATTTCTTAATAATATATCAATAGAACTATACTATAAGCTTAATCTTATAATGACTCATTTTATACGTTGTTTTGGTTTTATAGTTTACACACATTTTAGTTATGAAATTAGTTACAGTCTTCCACGCAGCACTTTTTTAGATATTAATTTGACACAGAATTTACTTCTAATTGTGTTTACACTGACCAAGTGCATTTTAAAAATCATAGAAAAATGTTAATCAATAGTAGATACTTATATATTAATACTGTTCAACTCATAATTTTTTCCAACTTGGCAAACACCAGTATGGCATTTGTTTAATAAAAGTTAAAACTATTGTCAACAAAGTTCAATCTATGTTAGATAAATATTATAGTAAATATCACTTGGGATTAAATTAAATATTATGTGTGGTATACCCAGGGGCGTAATTAGGGGGGGATAAATCCCCAAAAACTTTTTTTTTACAGCTTACATTTTGATCAAAATATTGGTAATGACCAATTATATTTGCTAAAAATGTAAACCCCCCCCCCAACTAAATTCCTAATTACGCCACTGGTTATACCGTATTTCAATATGTATATTATATTTATATATATAATTTTCTACCTTTAAAAATTAGAAGTTTAGATGAATGTAGTCTGTCAGTATTCAGTAATACTTTAAGAAGTAAAAATAAAATAGCATGATACATAAATTGCACTGTCTGAGAATCTGTGTACCAATTTGTTCATTATGTCAAAATATAATAATATGATCGTAACAGTACGTACCTTACATTATTATGATTGTTGATTGTCGCTTCCGTTCGGCCGGATACACGTTATATGACGTAAATACCAGCGATGGTAAATAAAAAACGTCAATTACTATTTGATCAATGACTATTTTATTACACCTATGATTATTAGTTGTATTAATATACCCGAGTATGCGTATTGTGTAAACGACGATCAAAGTTGTCGAAAAACGTTATCAAATGGTCAATAATATAATGTAGGTATATTATTATAATTTTTATTTTTATTTTAGTCATAATAATTTATCATCATGCAGTCGACAGCCAGTGCTATATTATTATATACACAGCATAATAACACTTTTGTTATTCTCTTGCGATGCGTTCGGAGCCGTTACTCGTTTATAATATTTCTCTTCGACATAATAATATGTATATGCATTTATGTAAATAATGTATTATACCATTATCATATCGTAGAGGTCTCTGGGGTAAGGAATGTCGGTGAAATTCCGAGACGTGCGAAGAATATCATATAAACCGTCGTTTTCTTACGCTTAGAACTCAGTCGCCATAAGTATTATTGTTTTTAATATGCGAGCTATTAATCTGTCGAATGGTAATTTAATACATATACCCAACATCATTATCGTTTTTGTATTTACTTTTGGTTTGTTGATTCGTAGGTATAGTGAAATATGCCATAATAATATCCTGCTATACTACGTAATATCTACCTAATAAAATAATTATATATAATTCGCTTCCAAAAATTAAAAATACAACGCATCTACTATTCTTTAGAAGCAAATCGAAAAATGAGACTGATGGGTGAGGCCATATTTTTTCCGAGATACAATATCATCTTTGCTTTCCGATAAAAATATCTCGCTTATAAAACCAGTGAGGTGTATACTTTTTCTAGGCTTATGGGGAAAGAATTTCCCCCGTAGTGAGAGCTTTTATGATATAACTATAACATTTTTAACAGGAGACAGATTATCCTAGAAAATTATAACCCACATGAGAGGTTTTAAATATAAAATGTCTAAAGATCAACGTCAACACCGTCCTTCATTAGGAATATCTTGGTCGTAAGATTTGCTGTTACAATTCCAAAATATTGTCAATTTACCGATCCTAAAACTATACTAATTATTATAATCATATATTTCTCAACAACAATTTTTTTTCATTTCGCGAATTTGCTGTATGTTTTAATTTTCATAATCTATCCTAGACCAATAATTCTAACTGTTAAGTCGAATGTAACTTGAAGCTATAATACATATTTATACAATGCTATATGTCGTGTAGCCCTAGGTGTCATGTAGGTTTCAAGTCACCGTGAAAATAGATTCATTAATCAGCGTCTATCGAAAATCCCAAACTCCCGCTTTGCTAAGACATTGGAAAGTTGGCGAGTGTGGACGACGACGAAGACGTAAACGTATAATAACCGTATAACATTTCTCACCGTCAAGTCCACCTTATTTCCCGTGAAAAGCTCCGAAAACATAACTTAACGTCAGACGAACCTACACATATCTTTTTTTATGTGACATATATAATATACGTATAGCCATATACAGATACTCGTGGTCATCGTTGTTTCCGATGATTTTTACGTTTGTGATGTGTTATTGGTTTTTATTGTATTATTACTTTTCCACGTGTCATGTCATTATCGCGAATACATATCCTAATAAAGCGAGACAATAGGTACTTCATGTCGTTATAATATCGCGACGAGAGTAAACAATAACAACGCGACAAAACATAATGCTACAACGACGACGTGTACATTGTAAATACATATATTTTGAGAGAGAGAGAGAGAGAGAGAGAGAGTGAATTTGCGAACGTTTTTCAATCTATATATTCGTATCTGTGTTTGGGTTAGTCTACTGTTGTAAATACTTCGTTTCGATTGTTTTGTCAAACGTAGTACAATAATAAAGCAGAGGGCGATATATGCATATATTTATTATACAAGGATGATTGTTTTTATTTTCATACAGCGACTAACGGCTTAAAAAGTCCACAATTTATTTATTTTCATGTCTCGTACGAATTTGGCTTGTTGTCACACAAAAGCAAAATTAATGAATAGTAACATTAGAACACTAGAAAGACTTAATCGAACCGTTATAGTCCTGACAGTAGTTTATTATGCGCTTTAACAACGGACTAAGATTACTAGTCCGTGGCTTTAACTGTACGATTATCAGTTTATCATTATATTATTGCAACAAAAGTCATTAATACTCAGAAAAGTTATTTATAGTGATTGTTAGTATTAAGTCAGGTGTCATCAGGCTCTTCAAAAACATTATATTCCGAAATCATTAATTTTCCGGGGTTTCTTTTACTATTATATACTCATTCCATTATAAGATTAATTTACATGGTTAATAGTTTATACCGTAAACATGTTTATATATACCATACAACCTTTATAGTTATTATATGTCTTTGAAGTTTTCCAAATTAATAAATGTCAAATTCAACTAGTCTCTATAATATAAGTTTCAAAATCAAAGAAGTTTAAAGTTCATCAAATTAAATTTTAATCAATTTTACATGACGTGTTAATTGTTTAAAGCAAATTGTATACTATTTAAATCTGAAATTTATCAAAGATATTATTATAATATGATTTAAATATTATTACAATAGGTATAAAAAACCTATTAGGTACAAAAAATGTTGAATGTTATTAGTTTTCATTCAATGTACAAGTAACGTAAAAGAAATATAGTCTAATGGGATTTCAAACTAAAAATTATAGAGGAAACACAAAAAACATAAGTCTTAATTAAGAATATTAAAATATTATAACCAACCACCATAATAATATGTTCATATATTATATAGTTTAATAATTATAAATTCATGAATCACAGAACTCATTAAAAAGTGCATGTTAAGATATTATTTCATAATGGGTCTGGAAAAAAGTTCATAACTTATTATTATAGAAGTGACAGTTTTTATATAAAATTAAAATAATTATTAATTTAAATATCGAATTTAAAATGAATGGAGTAAAGTTTTTTTCAGTCAAATATTATTAGCTAGGTATGCAATTATAGCTATATAATCTTAGTATGATCTTATAAAGTATAATAACACTATACTAATAAAAATAATTTAAAATTTAAAGTATAGTGATAAAGTTATGAAAGGAGTTCAAGCCATGTTTATCAAATGCTTTTTTTTCTGATTGTGTAATTGTCACAGATCAACATTTTAACGAAACTCGTATTATGATTAAATAAGTTAGCCAAGCTTAAAATTGATCATCATCATCATCATACCTTTCTTTTCATGAAGTGATTTATCTAACCATCCCTATCTATAATATGACCTAAAGACGTCCATACATCATATCCATACTAGGGGGTTTTACACACGATCCCGACGATCGTAACAAATAATACTAATAATATAACGATGAGTTTCTTAGTTTCTGAACGCGGTAACGTTTTTTTTTTTTGGTCAGGTTCACGTCGTTGCCACCGAGCCCGATCAGCATGCTGTCGCTGCTCATCGATTCCAAGGTGCGACTTCCCAGGTGGCCGGTGTCCGCGCACAACGTGGACACGAAACGAGACCTGCGGCACGCACAGGGCGAAAGGGACTTCTTCCTGACGGTGGTCAGGGACATCGCCACCGACCTGGACCTGAAGTCTCTGTCGCAAAAGATCGTCGATGACCTGGCCGTGTTGCTGGATTGCGATGCAGGTTCGCTGTTTCTCGTGGACGGGCCACCGCGAGGCTCCCGGCGCCGGTGCCTCGTGTCCAAGGTGTTCGACGTGCACAGCGGCGCCTGTGGCCAGTTCCTGTTGCCGGACGGCGTGCAGTGCGAAGTGGCCGGTGGTCCGCCCACGACCACCGACAACGAGGTGCGCATCCCGTGGGGCGTGGGCATACTCGGCCACGTCGCGTCCACCGGCGAGACGGTCAACCTGGACGTTGCCTGCGAGGTAAGTGCAAAATATGACCACCAACAGTGCAAAAATAACCTTTTTAACAACTCCAATTCGGAAACAACAATTACCTGTATAGATGTTTAGTTATTTAATTTGAACAATTAGTTTCAAAATAATTGAGGGGTGACATTTCAAAACGTACTATTTCCATTTTACACTTTTTTGAGAAATCACGATTTTCTATTTTTAATTACCAGTGGAAATAGGACGTTATGTATTCAACTCAATTGTATTCCCTATATATTAATACTATGGGAAATAGAACAATATGGCCTACTTTGGAAATAGTACATTTTGAACAATTTAAGGAATTAGTACGTTTTGCGTTAATTTGTCAAATGAACTATTGAACATGGGAAATACTACGTTCTGACATAGTTTTGAAAATAGTGGATTTAGACAAATGTTGACTTTGGAAATGGTGCGTTTTACGTCATTTATGAGTTTCAGATTGGTTTTAATAAAGGAAATAGTACGTTTTGGGTCAATTTGACCACGCCATTCGATTTCTCGTCCATTTTTACAATCCATGTATAACTCAATTTTGTCAATTTAGAAAATAGTACGTTTTGAAATGTCGCCCCTCAATTACAATAAAAAAAAAAATAATAATAATAAGCATATTATCTTATATTTCTCTGCACAATTGGGCTTCATCTTATAGGAAAATTAAATGATTTCCAGGTTATTCAGAATAACAAACACGAATTTCTAAAATTCAATAAATTAAATTAATATTTGTGTTTTGTGCAATCCTCGGTTTTCAAAAGTGAGGTGACACGTACATGTTTCCTTGACGATTAGATTCATGCAAGAAATATAATGAGCACTCTTTTGGAAATGTATGAGCTGAATGTTTATTCTCTTTGTATACAATACAAATACTGAGGTTTTATAAATGTTTAATAAAAATGCGTTGAATATACAAAATTTATCATTAACGAGCAACTACACAACAATAATAATTAGTTATTTATGCAATTTTCGCACGTGTATTTAGATATTATGTATGTATTGTCGTGTGCTTGAACAACTACTCTGTAACGTTAATAGGTAGTTAATACTCAATAATGTAGGTACCTATAGTGTTATACTACTTATACATAATAATTATAAATTTATCATAAATGGATCAGTGGGTCAAATTGTATACTCTAATTCGCTTAACTTTGAAGTGGTACTAAAACTGTATAAGTCGAATAATGTATATGTCCTGTATATTGATGAATATAGGTGCTGTCTAGTAATTATATCAGTAATTTTTTTTCACATGCGTTTAATTTTATTATAATTGATGGCCATCCGACAAATACATTTGATGCTATAAGTTATTCTTAACTTTGGACATTTTGTAATTTGGGCACATTTAACTGTCCCTACATTTTTTTATCGTAAAGTATATTGTTTTCTTAAGATCTTTCACTAAAAAAATAAAATGTAATAGGGTAGGTTTGGTTTTGTACTTGAAAATGCAATTTATTTTTCGGCGGCTTTTATTTCTATAATATTTTTCTGAATAGCAAAATATAAAGCAAATGAAAATATATTCCCCAAGAAGCTTTTAAGAAATATTAAAATGGTATATGTTTTTTCAATTTGGCCAAACAATGCAATTAATAAAAAATTATTTTTTATTTTTTATTTGTATAGAACTTAGTTCTACTATGAAAGTATACCAGGAAATATAGTGCACGATTTAAATAAGTGCAACTTGGAATAAGATAGTTAAATTTATTTTTAATTGTAAATAAATTACAAAATATAATTGTATTTAATGTAGAACTGTAAAACGTAAAAGGATTCTACAACAGCCAAGAAAAACGTATAATATACGATTTTATTTTTTTTTTTAGTTTCCATTAAATGTTGTACTAAAACAAAATATAACAATCAATCTTAGGAAACTGTATTACTAGTTTATGTAAAAGAACTATTATACTTTTTTTTTCCTTTTATAAATGTATAATTTTTTTATTATATACGTAGTATAGTGTCTCAAAAATTAATTACATTGAATGTAAATTTCTGCATTGCAATTATATTGCAATATTATTGATGTTAAAAAAAATTGAAACATCATTACCATGTGAAACATAGCATCGACATAAACGGTAGTTATGTTGTAATAAAATTCAACTAGACTTTTATCATGCATGTGGACTGTGAGGATAAAATTGATTTAACAGTAGTGCTCTTCAACAATGACGAAAAGGTTTTACAATAATACTATTGTGTTTATATCGTAAAAATGACTTGATACTATTTTAACGCGTACGACCAAGCTATCTCTAGGAGATTACGCGTCGTATTTAATACTATGCAGTGTATCAACTAAACGAACTGGTTAACGACATTTTTGACTATATTTAATGTATATTTTTTATTTCACTGCACGTTTGCGTTCAAATTTTGCCTAAAAAATCGCAGGTACCTATAGTGTTTCGTCAACACGTTTGTCACCAATATTTTTTATTTTAACTAGGTACTTAATATTTAATTTTTAGTTTAATCTATGTAAATGTTTTAAAAGTTGAATATTACCCAATTTTCATTCGGTATTTAAATAGTTTGTACCGTGTTCGTGTTAAAGTTTAGATAGAAAGCGGGCTGATGCTGTTTACGAGGAATAACACGGGGATTCAACCTACATAACACATAATATTATACATAGCGTTTCGGACTAGTGCCCGCGATGTATCGTAAAGCGTCCAGATATTATTATTTATATAGTATCGTGTAATAAAAATCGGTCGGGTGCACAGCGTATTATGTTACTATATTGGTGGTATATATTAATACAATATCTCGAGAGCTCTGAATGATTTTTGGCCTTTTTACGCGCGTTATTCGTATATTATTATTATCAGCGTTATTATTTATTATTATTATTATTTTTTTTATTTTTACAGCATCTCCTCTCTCAGACATTTGTAGAAATTTACTACACAGCTATATAACGTACTGCTGGAGGCCGTACAATCGACGTTTATTGATACGTTTCGTATTTTGTCTGTGTGCGTTTGAAAAATAAAACTGGGTCATCCACGCCACCCTGCAGCTATATATATATATACAATATTATATATACGACCTAACATGGTCGACGTGGGCTAATGAAATTCCAGTTGTGTATATACGTAGTGGATCATCTTCGACAACCTCCCCTTTCAACCACCACCACCACCCCCGATTATTGTGTCATCTGTGCGAGTGCATAATATATATATATATATAGTCAGCGTGCAGAGGACGGTGGAAGGCGTCCGCGTAACGGATACACCGAACCTATTCTCCCAGTTGGGGAATTCGAATTTCCGTAGATATATATAAAGGTATATACGTCCCAGTCATCCCACCTTTGGTTTAGTGAGTGGCCCTATTTCCTATAAGTTTCTGAGTGAAAATGCATGTAGGGACAGTTTTGTATATATAGTAAAAGGATTGTATAATTAACAAAAACCAATTTAAAAAATATTGTTGTTTTTTTTTTTGCTCTTTGTTTAATTGTAATTTAAAATAACCAGAGTTCAAACTATTATCTACGTACATTGGTAGAAATTAATATTATTAGTACGGATTCGATTTCGAAACCGTTGGCACAGCGCGGAAGGTCATACGAACATTAATATCGTTTAACTATAATATTAGCTCGAAAATTCTGTTAGTAAGCTATTTAAATTGTATTACAATAAATATTATTGCTATTATATTATTACTATTGTCAGTTTGACGATTATTCATAATTCCAATAAGTACCTAAATGGGAAATACGAAATTTATTATCATCGCATTGTTCCACCGTATGATGGAAATCGATTTCATCTTGAGAAATGTATTCAAAATTAATATTAAGAGAAAATCACCGTAATTTGGCTGTTTGTTTTTTAAAATAAGTTCAATAAATTAATGAAGTGGACAAATAAATGAGGTATTTTTGTTTCATGAATACAATTACTATCAGAAATTATGTTTTTAAATTTTTCAGATACTATAAAAATATTAATGAGAGTCGGAATCGTACATCGATTGAAAATTAATCGTTCACAGTGTAGCATATTATTTATCGTAATATCTGAAACAGTAAATTATGCAAACGCTCATCTTTAACTCGAAGTATAATTTTCAAGTGGAACGAACCGTGAAATATGTAAATTTTATTAATTTAAAACGAATACAAGACTTTATATGTTGACTTAATATGTTTGTCCAAAAATAAAATTAATAATTTATTAACTTTTTTGTTTAAAAGAAATAATAATATTTACGTGCGATTAATTTTAATATCGGTTCATTTATATTAATTGTCGTCGCTGATGTCTTATTTAAGTTTTTCCTTGCTCTGTGTCTTTGTAAGTTATATGTTTACATAAAAGATATAGTCCACCATGTATGTGTATGGTTTTAAAATCGTTTGAAGAGCGAAAATTCCAACATTGGAATTATTTGCTATGATTATTGGCTTGTTGTAATAATATTATAATACGCTCAACGTCGGAAAACGTCTTGTCAATTTCAATAATTTTCCCGCCCGAACCCGAAATACCTAAATTTATAATATAATAATATAATAATATTATAATAATAATAATAATAATTTAAACCGATGTCGTCATAAAATATCAAATTGCAGGACCCGAGATTTGACGACGAGGTAGACCGCATAATGGGATACTACACTTCATCGTTGCTGTGCATGCCGGTGAAAAATTCGTACGAAGAGATAATAGCGGTGGCGCAGGTTAACAACAAGAACCCGGACAAGGACGGAGGGCATTTCACCAGCATGGATGAGAAGGTAAATATTTTGTAATCGGGGCGGAAACTTTTACTTGTGGTTTTGACGCAGAGTTACTTCGAGAGACAAGCACTAGCTGTTGTAAATCCTGTGGGTGCAGCAGTCAGGTACTTCTCGTGTACGTACATATAGAGGTATATACCTACACATTATACAAACTTTACAAGCCACTTTTTCAGTTGCTGTAGTTATGAATTTTATTTAAATTTGGAAATCCTAGTATACATTACTTGTTTGTGAGTGTGTGTGTGTGTGTGTGTGTGTGCGTGCGCGCGTACTTACCTCCTCGTTAATATTCCATCGGCGAATTAATGACGCTGCCTGCACTACTGCAGGTTTCTGATCGGAGAACGTAAGATTATAATAACGTTGTTTGTGCTGTAGATATATTACGACGATAAGGACACGACCTACAATGTATTTGCAAATTATACATAATCTCCGAATCCGTATGACGTGATTAACATATTGTTTAATAATTAATTTTCGTCAACTACGTCGTTGCTCCTTCGAAATCGACATGGTTTAATCGCTAGGCTTGTGTTTTACTATTCATAGATAATATTATATAAATATAAGTTGTGCAGTCTAAGGTAGTAATATATTTTAATAATATTGTTAGTGACATAACAGTTTATAGATATTTATTTTTTTATAATTACATTTCTGCATTATAATAATGTTAATGGCTATATGAACACAATTGAAATTCATACGACAATGTGTACATAATTTATACGAACTAATGACTAATATGGTTTTTTCGGTATAATTTTATGTTGGGTATGCATAGGCGTGCGCAGAGTTTCAGGTCAGAGGCAGCGATTATTTTAGTCGGCCCATTTTATCATATATACGGCCCACAGAACCATTAAAATCTATGTAATAAATTATATCATTATTTATAAAAAATACAATGAGTACAAGATAAAAATATTATTAAATTAATCCTATATTTAATTTGTTATGTAGATAAGTGATATACCTACTAGTTACTACAACTACAGAATTATAAGTTATAAAGTTTACTACATTGTAGAACATTATTTATTTTTTTATTGACAGTTTCTAATTTAATTAAAATTTTAACTAATAATTTTATACAATATAGATTAATATGAACAATAAAAATAAATAAATATACTTCCTTTTTCCACAAAGGCACTAACAACTTTTAAAATTGTAAAAATGAAATTTATAATACAAGCCGACGGTCACTTTGAGTAAGGTGTTTGTATTCATCAATAACATCATTTATATCAACATTATTTGTAAGTTCTTGCTCAACAAATAAAAAAAGTAAGGCATTCAATCTTTCTTGACCAATTGTGTTCCTCAATTTGTTTTTAACGATGGTTAATTTAGAAAAAGTGCGTTCACAAGTACAGCTTGTAACTGGAATAATAGAAAACATTTTGAGACAATGATAGAATTGTTTATATATAGTTGATCTACTAAACTGACATAACCAATCAAGCCAATGATACACAGAAGCTGAATTTGTTCCTCTGGGTGTATCTTTGTGAGCCTTTAAAATTTTTACTTCAGCAATTAATTCATCAGTTGACGCATTAAAATATTTAGATAATAATTCATAATTTGATTTTTCTATCTCATCAGATAAATTCACCAACATTCCAACAGAACTGATCAAGTCTAATGTGTCTAGTTGAAATCTTGAGTTTAAGCCTTGACATAGTGTGTCCAAAGTTGAATAAAAAACCAACACCCTCAGTTTTTCCCTTTTAGTTTTAAAAATATATTGATTAGTACATGAATCTATTTTTGTTGAAATTCTTTTATTTTTTACAATGGGAATTTCAATGTTCATTTCTTTACACATTTTTACTGTGTTTTCAAAGATATGTTCATAATCTTGAGAAGAATTTCTTAATGAGTTTAATGAGTCTTTCAGTGATCTTATTGTTATTTTATTTACTGAACAGCTAGAGCGTCTTTCCCGGTCTTTTACTCTCGATTATCAGAGTAGGTAAAGACGTTTATTATACAACCTTTATACAACCTACACTATACAGCCTGCCTTGACTGGCCCTGGTTCAAATTGACCAGCAATATTATCTAGACCAGCCCTTCCGGGCCGGTCAGGGGCAGCAAGAGCACACCCTGCTGCCCCCGTGCGCACGCCTATGGTACATATTTAATGGCACGTAGTTTAGGTTTCGGTTGCTTGTTCAAATAAAATATTTTCGAAGTTGGACTGTAAGCGAGTTTAAACTGTTCTATATAGTTTTACGTCAAAAACTTGGTATTGACTACCATAATGTTTTCTATAAAGTTTTCGATAGATTTTGAATGGATTCTTGAATAGTACTAATTAACCATTCATTAACTATAATAGGCATCAGTTGTTAGCATAAAGTAAAACATCTTATTCAAACAGTTTAAAACAATTTTTTAAAAACTTAATATTTGTTTGGGAAACATTTTCAATCAAAAAAGTTATAGTGATGTAATTCTTATTTGAGAATGTAATTATTTTAAATTAATTTTAGAAATTGGCATGTCAAAAATGAGGTTTTGTAATTATTTAAGAAAACTACCTAGACATAATTAGTCTCGAAAACTATCAATGGAAACAGTATTATGCTGTTAAAGCTGATTTGTAATCTAGGAATTTAGGATCTAAAATATAATCCTATTGTTCCTAGTTTACCAAATCCATACTACTAATAATCTATACATTACAGTTGAGTCATATAATTTCAAAACGATATAATTTAATCAAAATTTCTGGAATTATAGCTTTTCGAGACGTACTTACAGTTTGTCGGTATAGCTATTACAAACGCACAAATCGTCGAAGACTCCCGAGCTGAATACGATCGAAACAGGGTAAGTGATTGAAACCCACGAGCATAGTTGAACTTATCGGTGTGTTTGAAAAACATTTAACTGGCGTCGTTGCAGAACTTGTTGGAAGTGGTGCACGATCTGTTCGAAGAACAAACATCCATCGACAAAGTGATCATGAAGATAATGCAGAGGGCCCAGAGGCTATTGAAATGCGAGAGGGCGGCCGTGTTGCTCGTGGATGAGTCGTGTGACAGTACCAGATTCTCTAAGCTGTTCGATTTGAACTCACCCAAGCACAATATAAAAAATAACGTTAAAAAGTAAGATTGCATCCTCTAAATAATAATATAATCATAATTTATACTAGTGCATTTAAAAAAAAAATTACATAATATTATATATTATATAATTAATAATAATTAATATAATACAATTTATTATTGGGGGGGGAGTGAACGAGGGGGCTAAGGCGTCTGTTACGACCCACACCGACGCCGGTTCGATACCTCGGCCATGGACGGCATTTTTTTCGGGCAAGTCACGGTGTCCGGAGAGCAATTGCCTCCATCCCCCACCTGGGCATGGCCGATACCTACGGGTACCCAAATCCAATATTCTGCCAAAACAAACACACACGTGTCCCCTCCCCTACCAACAAAAACCTACAAACAAAACAAAAAAAAAAATAGCTAATGGTCTAAGCTGCCAGGCTCAAACTCAATAAAAAAAATAATTTATTATTGCATAATATTTTGCATCTTCAAATAACTATTTTTTAAAATTTTATATTATTCCGATTGAGTAATAATTAACTAAGTTCAATTAAGTGATGCTTTCGGTATTTTTGAGATTAGTAGCTATAGTATACCAACCAAAGTTTTATTAAAAAAATAAAAAAAAAGATTGAATTTTTTTTATCAATTATTATTATAGTGAGTTTATTTATGATAATCCTTTAAAATAGTGTAACCAATTAATAGAGCTTTTAATGTAATATAAAATAATACCGTATTAGTCGGTGTTACTAATTTTTATACGCTCTTTAAAAAAAACCAACTTTTATACACGTATTTTTAATTGGGATGTGAAAACTTGTCTCTACAATTATTAATTTTTGAATAGCAAAAAAATAAATGAAATTAATGACCAAAACCCGGTTTTGGGTGAAAATCCTTTTTCTCTATTTTTTTCATATATTTCCATTACCTTTGTAATAGATGCAAACAAGATTCAATTTGTTAACAAAAACCACTCTCAAAGTTGATAGTCAAAGCATTATTACTGCTTCAAAAGGTGTTGACAGACAAAAAACAAAAGAAGTAAAAAGACCCCTATTTAATTATAAAACTAATCGCTCCACTCAGAATAAATGAATTCAAAAAAGACGTTTAAATAAACTATTAGTTTTTCACGTATATACTTATGGTGATATCTTCGGGAATTTATTGGGACACACTGTACAGTGTACACATATAATATATAATATTATATACTTATCGATCCGCAGGGCTATATCACTATCTATAAATAAAATCACTTATTAATATGGGCCTTATTTCTCAGATCCATCTTTTATACATATTATATAAATAATATATAGACATTGTCGCAAATGGTTACCTATTCAATATCATGTTCATGAAATAGTTCCAGGCAAAAAGTGGAAGGCGAGAACGTATCGCGATACCTGGAGAGCCTTGCTGAGAGGGTGGCTTGTTCAGGGGAGGTGCTGAACATCAATGAGCACGAGTGCAGCGAGGGAATCGTAGATTCGGGAATCAACTCGCTGTTGGCAATGCCCATCAGGAATAAAAACGACCAAATAATCGGTAAGCACTAAGCACAATTCACATTACATCGTTAACGTACTCCATAATATCCATTATCATATACACAATTATATATATAATCATTTAATCGAATAATTAGCATGGAGAAACGGGACAATATAAATATATATAAAACACGAAACATATTTCTATATGTCCTTTATGCATACCTAAACCGTTCTTCCAACTGCGATGAGATTTGGTACAGATATAGATTAGACCATGGGGAAGAAGATAGGATAAATTTTGTCGCGAAAAAAGGTAAAATAAGAGGCCCAACCCGGGGAAATTCTCAAACAGGGATTTTGAGATTTACGATGGAAATTTTTGCTTATAAATTTTTGCTATTGGTTTTAATAATAATAATAATTATTTTTAATGCGATAAGCCTGTGTATTTTAGTACAGAATATTATATCGAGTTCGAACCTCGGTTTCGGTGGATCGATTTATTGCATTTTCTGATACTTTAGAGTTCAATTATACATTCACGGAAAACGCCGGTCGGGATGGCAATAAATTAAAATGTAATATAATTTACACTTAAAATGACATTGCTTCCACAGCGTGTTACACCCAATAGGAATTTAATAATCACAAAAACTTAGCAATAGCAAAACATTGTACTTAAATGTTTTAGTTCTGTGTAAAGTTTTATTGCATTTTTGTCAACATTGTCTCCTTGCAAGAGAGCACCTTGCATAATATCCTTAGAGCATGGCATACAATTCTTAGAAGAAAGCCATTTTTTGGCAATTTTATCCACACGGTGCAGGTCCTTAATAATCTAGTTATTCTACAGGAACTGACAAAAATATATTACATTTTATTATGTATTTAAAATTAATGGCAGCATGAGTAAAATTTTAATTTACGTCATTAAAATGAATAATAATAGCAAAGCCTTATTCCGGTCAGTCTTTAGCACCTTTTCTATATCAGCGCCTTATAGGTAGCACACACCTTTCGCTAGTCCTGACCACAGTTGTAGTTAGAGAACCTGCAATAGAACTAAAATACCTCTTGAGGATCCCTTTCGCGTCGATAATTATTTTCCCCTACCATACAATCATAATAGATATACGTCTGGTATGTACGCACGTATTCGATAACTCCTATTCTATTATGATGAATGAATGTGTAACGATATCACGTACAGCTCAGGTCTTTATTGCGAACGGTTGCTGTAAGTTCGGAAACTGTGTGGTAGTACCTAACATTATTATCATATTATTATTGTCTGGTCATGACTGTTATCATATTATGTTCAGTTTCTGAAAGTATTTAACATAATGAGTACTACATTGCGATCGATTTTTGGTCAGACGTGAATCGACGTGGTATCAGAGGATACTATCCAGTCAGTCGGAAAGATTAGTTCGACGTGAGCTCATTTGATCAAAACTGTTATCATTCTCTTAGTTCTTACGTGCATTATTCAATTGAGGGATAATAATTTATTTCGGTTAACTAACGAGAATAATATTTCACAGGTGTCGCCAGTATAATCAACAAATTGAATTCGTCGCCATTCGACGATTACGACGAACAGTTGTTCGAGGTGAGGTGTTGTAATAATATACAAGAAAAACACGTGATTTCGTAGATTTAGTATGCTGTTCACTTATAAATATTTACACAACCACGTTTCGCTTGTTATAGGCTTTTACAATATTCTGTGGACTGGGAATACACAACACACTCATGTATAGTGAAGTAGAAAAGGCGATGGCCAGGCAAAAAGTCTCCATTGAAGTAAGATCACCTTATGGGTGTGCGAAAACGAATATAATATATACGTCATCAGAAAGTTGTACAAATGTTCGTTTTTTTTTCTTTTATTTATTTTAGGTTCTATCTTATCACGCGACAGCTTCTAACAAAGACGTGGAACGTATACTGGTAAGCTCTATAATCTTGTAAATTTATTTTTTAATATTCCTATATGCTTTTAAAACTTTTTTGGCTTCTATTTCAAATAGAAACTATCATTCCCGAATAAACATTTTATACATTCGTGTGCTGTGAAAATAATGAAAAAACTTTTACTCGCCAGTCATTGAACTCTAGACCGTTTTTTCCATAGTTTAATGCCCCCGCGAATTTCAACGGATTGAAAAGTGTATATATTGTTATTATTCTAGCTTATTGTCTCGTTGCGTGTGGTGTATACCACCTACCCACTGACGCTGACAACTTGTAAAAGAGGAAAATTTATTTTTACACTATTTCACGTAAGACCAAGTGTCAAATCGTGTGTTTTCAAATAAACATTGGCAATCACAAAATGAAAATAATGCACGTTGTCAATATGAAATTACCAACGAAAAACTGTAACCTAGAAATAAATGTATTTTTTTCTCAGGGCATGCCGGTACCTGCTGCTGATTCGTTGAATTTGTATTCCCTTGCGTTCGACGATTTTTCACTTAACGATGACGAAATGCTGATGGCGGCCGTGAGCATGTTTTTGGAACTAGGACTCGTTAAAACGTTTAACATTGAAAAAGAAGTGAGTGCATAATAAGTAAAATATAATATATACTTGGCAAACCACATAATATGGATTGTGTACGTAATTGATTGCTTAAAGTGTTCAAAAATGTTTGATATTTGATATCTGACCAATTTCCCCACTCCAATAGTCTATTTTTTGGAATTTTTATATAACTGCTCAATTTTTATCTAGTTAGTAAATGGTGATTCATAAAAAAAGTTTAATGCATAGGTGTGTTGTAAACGATGGTTAATACAATACAATTGGGAGAAAAGTTTTCTAATGGAATGATTCCAAATGACGAAAATGTTATGATATTATAAATTATGTTAACAAAACGTGATATTACTAACATTTTATTGTTTAAATTATTGACTAAATAAACTTGTTTGAATGATAAAAACCCATACTAATTTAATATTAATGTGTTTACCAATAAATCTGTCGATTCATTGGTAAATTTCTTTATATATACAATGTATTCAATTTCAAAATTAGTTATATTACCTATGTCTTAAACCATAACATAAACAATTGCATTGAAAACTTAAATAAATATATATTTTTTGGGTGGTTTCAAGAGCAGAAAATAAAAGGCAGCAGCCCTTACATTTTTCGTAGTCAGAATAAATATCTTGCTAAGTTTTCTCGGGCTTTGAAATATTTGCATGTGCAAATAACGGCCTGTGGCAATAGAAGGAAGTGAATGACAAGAATACGAGTTGAGTGGAAATGAAATATGTCTTATGATGTGAATAATGAGAATTTCAAAAATTTGCCTGAAAAAGTACTTGAAAATACTTGGAAGGGACTGTAGATAGCATAATGAAAATTACATGTTTGGTTTAGTTTATTATTTACATATATAACAGTCCAAATTAATGTACATTTTATTTTTCAATGTAACAATACTTATACTTATAACTAATGACAAAATGTCTAATTAAATATGTATTGAGTACCTACTTATATTTACTGCCCATACAACCTTATAATTATTTATTTATATTACGTTTATGAATGGTAGGTATTCATGATATTATTAACTATTTACAACTCAACTGTTTTAGAGTTATTTTGTAGTGCTGGAAAAACATCTATTTTATTACAGTGGGAAGAAGCTCTATGCTTATTTTTAATTAGTTAAAACGATATCCGTCATAATAAAGACAATATTATACTGTATGTATATCCTGACATTTTACATTTCAGATAAAAACAAATGCAAAGTACTTACATTGTCAAATAATTTATCAATTACACAACACTTCATTTACCTATATATTTTTGTCAAGAAATATTTTATTTTGTGATCGTATGGACTATTATAATAGAATGTTTATTTTAATGCACTGATGTAGAACATAACTTCATATTAATATAAAACAATAAGAAGTATTTATCCAACATTAAAATTTAAAACGTATTATGTTGTATTGTTAAAATATAATACTTCTTACTTCTGTGGACCATTTTCAAAGGTTTAATATCAGAATAAAATTATTATAATAAGATAATCTATCATAGTATTATTTTTTTATTCGTTGATTATCATTGTATTATAAAATGCTATTAAATCAAATTTATGTTAAAAACACAATGATTCGTTTTCAAATAAATTATCGTTTTTATTAAACTGATATTCAATAAAATATTCGATTATAATCATGAATAATACTAAATCAACCAAATTCGTCTTATAATACCGATTTGTTATCTATATTTCAGACACTATATCGGTTCCTGATCACGGTGAAACGCAACTACAGGGACGTGCCTTATCACAACTGGAGACACGCTTTCAATGTTGCTCAAGTCATGTTCGCTATTATGATGGTAACTATATTACGAAAAAGATAGAGATAATTTAACCAGAGTGTATAATTAATATTGATGTGTTTAAAGGGATGTGACATGAAAAATACGTTCTCCGATCTCGAAGTGTTGGGAATGTTTGTGGGATGTTTGTGTCACGATCTCGATCACCGGGGCACAAATAATTCCTTCCAGGAAAAGTATGTTTAAACTAGTGGTTGATTTCAATAAAATAAAGTTAACCGTAGTTTTTGAAACTAGGTATGCAAATGCTTTTTTTTAATCAAAAGTAAATATCTTATATAAATATATATTGTACATTTTTAAATTTCTATGCAATATGAATTTGTAGCATTAAGCGTGATCATAAAACTTTGAAACAAAAGATTTATGATAAATGTTATATGTGTTTAATTTTTAATTTGAATGCAACTTACTGTCTAACTTTTGTTTTACTACTCAAAATTAAACGACTTAAAAATTGCATTATAAAATTACAGTCGATATTTAGTCTTAATTTATCATGATGTATTTTAGAGCCAGATCAGCATTAGTTTTATTGTACGGTACTACAAATACAATGGAACACCATCATTTCAATCACGCAGTGATGATACTCAGCAGTGAGGTAGGTCGAATACAAATTTATATAATATAGTAAATTGTTCGAGTACAGCGTTTTTATACATTTCATATTTTCTAGAACCTCAATATATTCTCGAGTCTATCTGCGGAAAGTTTTTCAACTGTGATGAAAGTATTAAAACATAGTATACTAGCCACTGATCTTTGCATGTACTTCCAGTGAGTAAACATGCACGTTTTAAGAGCTAACTTAGTAAACTCAAATTATTTTATAAACTATTTTCATAGCTTTATGAAAATAATGTTACCACAATAAATATTACAGTGCTATACACAAGTCAAATATTTAAAGACAATTTGTAAATTTTGTATGTTTCTATTAATTTAGTATCTTATGTTTACTTAAATTACTTACTGTTATTGATACGATGATATCATTGTCTTTATTGTCTTTGTCTCACATACATTTGAATGTGACGGTTTGTCCATATACCAAACATTGTCAACACGATGATATTAATATTATATATAGAAACCAAAAATAATTATTATGCTCATAAAACTGGTTTTTTTTTCAATATTTTTTTTTTTTGTAAAATAATACCCAAGTTTTAACATTCTTAATTACTAATTAGTAATTACTTATGTGTATATTAACACATTTCACTGGATCTTATTGCATTAGTGCCGTTTAGGGGGAACATAGGGGCAATGAACCTCTAGACATAAAACATCATGAACTACCTGTAAATAATAATTTTTTCAAAAATCTGTATAGAAGTTCAGTGTTTTTAAGTTATAATCATGGCCCCCCTATATTGCCCCCCTCCCCCCCAGAACAAATCCACTACTGTGTTATATATGATAATTATAAAACTTGTACGTGAGAATATTACTACCTAGCTATACATTTTAATATTTCTTACATAGGTACTATAATATAACTTATGACATAGGTATTAGAATAATTCGTGAAGCCTGATTTATTATTTTTTTTAACCATAAATTATTCATGTTTTAATTTTTTTTTTGTATTGTGCCTCATATTAGGGTTTTTTTTTTATTTCGTTAGACTGAGAAACAAGTTCTTCCGGCTAATCGAGTCTAAAGAATACAGTTGGGACGAAGACTCGCAACGATACTTGCTAATGGCGATGTTGATGACATCGTCCGACTTGGCAGCGTCTACAAAGCAATGGCACGTTCAAAAGCGAGCCGCTAGACTGGTGACAGATGAATTCATCGAGCAAGGCGATAAGGAAAGATTCGAGTTAAAAATCCAGCCACAAGCTCTCATGGACAGAGAGAGGCAGCACGAACTTCCACAGTTGCAGATCAGATGGATCGCAGACATATGTCTGCCGTTGTACCAGGTTAACGATTTTTTTAGATGCAGAAACAAAGAATGTGTTATTAATTAATTTTTATTCACAGGCATTGGGGCAAATGAATCCAAAACTTAACGTTATGAAGGAAGGAGCAATGAATAATATGCACCAGTGGAGCAAATTGGTTGACGAAAACTACAAGAACGCAAACGGGGAGCAAAAATAACTGAATAGATTGTGAAAGATATGGCAGAAAACAGGGAATGAAATTCAGTATTTTTTTTCCTCAAAAAACTTTAAGTAGACTGATCGACAACTAGAATCGTATTATATTATATTATATTATGAAGCTAATAAAAATGGATGGGAATTTTTATGATAAATGAGTAATGACATTATGATATTATGTTTGATTTATTATTTGTTATTATAATACTATATTATTATATATTTTTTTTTTACCTTTTACACACCAATAGTATATAAAATTATCAAAGTTTATAGTTATGCACATGGCAAATTAAAATAATATTTCGTAGTTGTACATACATGTATGTAAGACGGTATTTTTGTTCCGTAGAATACTGCAGTGTACCGCACGAGTAATCGATATTATTTTTTATTATATTACACGTTATCAGAGCTAGAAAAATATATTATATATTATTAAATTAAAAACACTGTTGTTGGCACATTATTTCTATATTATGTTAGTAGCTTGCAAACAGTTCACTTCTATAGACTGGCCAGAAATCTAGTGAGCTGGTCGCCACGATCAGTCGTCTCGTTCCTCTTGTCCAACTTCAACTGGTGCAGTTCCACCGCACCGTCTGCAAACGCCAATCCCTGTCAACAACAAAAATCAATACTTCAATATTATAATTTCATCAATACTAACTACCATGCGATCGATCGTTCAAAATATTTTACTGTGTCGTATTTTATTTGCCAGGGAATAAATTACAATAATAGATTTAAAAGTATTCATAATTTGTAATTACAACTCGACATTTTTAAAAATTATAATATTTGTAGCCATTTTATTTTTATGGAACATTGTAACTAAAGTATCGGGCATTTGTAACACAAATGAATTTGAGTAAGACCAGTATAATATTATAGGATGAAAATTTAGTGTTAGTATCAAACACACAGTTTTTAATGAAATTGACAGTCGTGACAGTTTATTGACTTGAGATATTTACGACCGGAGAATACTTCAATAAATTAGCGAAAGTAGGTACTTAGAATATCCATAACAGCTTAGTCTAATCTGAATACGTTGTGTTATAAATCGCATTTGAGTTCTTGTATCAAATAAGTAATATTTTTAAAACGAAATACTTCCAAACAAAATTAGTGTTATAACACATCAACGATTTTGAATGTAGTCGCAATGTGTGACTTTTATCGATAAACAATACATTTATCAGTAGAAACAAGTAGTAGAAACTGTATAAGTAAAGATACAAAAAAAAAAAATAATATAAATATCATTGAACTTTTTGTGTTTATACGTTTTCAAGTATATTATGCTAATATTTAAAAACAAATTCAATTTTAAATTACTTAATTTGAATTCATATTTTGCATTTAAAATGAAACATGCAAAATAAAATGTTTAAATACCGAGGAAGGCACTTTTCTGTATAGTCAATGACTATTAGTCATAGTTTACCTCGTAATTTAATAGGTTACTGCATTGGATGTGGTAAATTCTAATTCAATGATATATCACAGTGCATACCTAAAACGACTATTTCTAGATACGATGTGCCACTATATGCCTCCATTTATAAGATACTTTATATTTTATAATTAATTTTATATTATTAGTATGGTGTGATGATTATATTATTTTCCCAAAAACATTGTAGAACTATGTGATTCTGTGTGAATATCTAGGTTCAGGGTTTGATTAAATATCTTTAAATTAGACTAAATATTTAAATACTTTGAAAATAGTATTGTGTGTATAAAACAATAATAGGTAGGTACACGCATTAATAAAATACAACATAAAAAAATCGCTACTTTTTACATATATATCCAATTTTGTCAAAATTGGAACATCAAATGTCTATTGGTAAACGAAAATGTTAGGTACTAATGTACTATTGTTTTTCGATGTTTTTAGAATTCTGTAAGACCAACTTATGAAGATTATTGTATCTATTACATTTTTAAGCTTTTTTATTTACAAACCTATTTATTACACATAAATTGAAAAATAATTTCAAAATATCAAATGTTTATGAATAGCAAAAAAAAGAGCCAATTTATTTTGAAAATCATAATTTCTAGAAAAGGTAAATAAAAACATTTTGCTTTTTGTGGCTTGACGAGGCGCAGTGGCTACAATCAATCACGCATTGTGGTTGAGAGTAAGTAAGATCCACTGACACTAGTTCCCGGATGGGTGACCACCCGGGTTCATAGTGGCAAAAACCTTGCCACACATTTACACGTGTTGCTAACCAACCATACCAACCCTACCAACTTTACAGGTATAATGACCTCAGTCGTCGGAGCCTTAAAGTAATAAACAAATAAAATAATAAAAAAGCAATTTGGTTTAAATTTAAAGTGACTACGGTTATTAATATCTAAATTAAAACAAAAAAAAAAATTCGATTTTGTCAAAATCTGTTTTCCCGTCAACATTTCAGTTTTTCATCATTTTTATTTTGTTTTTCTGAATATTTAATACAGTACTTACTAATGTTTTTTACTTACGAAAAACTTCACTTTACCAATTATATCTAACGTGCTACCAGAAACCACTCTCAAATTTAAAATTGAAGATAGTTAAAAACCTAAAAGCTGGTAACACACGACAGTCACAAAAAAAAAAAACAAACATCATTGTACAACTCATAATACGTTAATTTCTCTGCTCGGAATCTAAAAAAAATGTAACGAAATTACGGAATTGCGATGTCAGCATTCCACTAATGTTATTTGAATAGGTAGCAAATATATAACGTCCTCCGTCTGTCCTGGGAGCCAATTAGCATAATATTCTGACCCTCGAAATTATACAGTAAAATGTTGAGTTCATTATGCGGATCATGAAGAAAAAAAATTAACCTGACCGTCGAGAGATAAACTGATTAATAGCTACTTGAAAGAATGACCCTCAACGTGATAAATATTATACACTTTTAATTGTTTAACGATATTAGAATATCATTATATTATTTTGTAAGATCATATTAAGGTTTGTTCAAATGGTATACCGAGTATACTTATACTGACCAAGTAGGTGTTTCGGTTTTTTGGCATTGACGTCAACGACATGGCCGTAACATCCTTTCCTCGAAACGGTACGGACATTATGTGTGTAGTGTTGTCGTCGCAAAGGTCCCACAAGTGTACGCTGCAAACGACAATGTCATAATTTGGTATGTTACACAAACAAAGGGCATATAAATGAAACATATTTATACAAATACAGTTGAAAGGGTCTGGATCACCTGGAGAATGAATCCAACCCGAACACGATGCCGGGATGTCCGGTGCACCATAGAGTCTTTACGATACTCGCCTGGGCACTCATCCCATCCTTTGACGATGCAAACAAACGTCTCAGGGCTTCTCGACGACTTGCGCTGTATAGCATAACTTCATTGCTTGAACACGCGGCCTGCAAACGTATCCTCTATTTTTATACGTACATAGAATTGCTTAAATTCTAGTATTTTTTCATCTATTATTAGTGAATAAATAATAAAACCAAATATTATGATATTATAGTATTATACATTATAATGCCAATGGGACTGTATCTATATGACGAAGACACCAGAACAAACTTGATGGTTTATAATATTCATTACAGTAGATATGTCTATAGGTAACTAAAGGGTGAATATTAAAAAAAAACATCGTTTTTATCAATCTTGATGTACCTACCTACTTAATATTTAATTTGTTCTATTAATTCACACTTTTGCAACATTAAGGCCCCTGCAAATGTGTCATTTTTAAGGAGTTGTATTTAGGCAATTATTTCGTTTCTGCGATAACTGATCGTCTTTGTGTGTCTAGTAAATGACATTAGTATGTGTATACTCCCCTACCATACCCTCGACCCTTATCAATGTATAATGCTTTGTTATTTCTTATCAGGTTTATGGTCGCACGCATGTACAAGACATTTAATGTCTAGATCAAACAATTTTTTTTTTATTTCTTACATTTCAAAATGTATGTATTAAACGTTTGTTTTAAAGTCTTGCAGTGGATACTATAGTATAAGTAATTTCGAAATCGAGTAAGATACGCAATATAATAATATAATCAATTATAATGTCTGGTATGCATGAAAAAAAATGTCTACGAAACTAATATAACTTTTTAGTAAATGGATTTGAAATTATTTCGTTTTGCGTTATTTTTTGTTCAATGAAATTCTATAAATTGCGTTTTGAGCTATGTTTTGTTTAATGATACATAATATATTTTATTTCGTTATGTTTTGTTTTGCGGTGTTCAATTATTTTTGATAATCGCTTTCCGTTATAATTTCGTTCGCAAATTTCAATCGTTTTTTGTCAAATATTACGTTATTATAAAGTTTTCAAGCTCTAAAAAACCACTAATTAAAATGTTGAATTTCGGTAAGGTTTGGATTTTTGTGAAAACCACTATCGGCTGGAATTGTTGTGTTGTTTCTAGACTTAATAAACATCGACGATCGTAAGCTATACTAAAATGTAGTGAATTCGATGAATGTACACTGTACATATATTAAGCTGTCCATAAAATGTAGTTCACCGAATAATCGTTCCCAACAAGAATAATTTTTGCTTTAAATCGATAATCATTTCAAACTTTTATTAGAAATTGGTAGATCATATTATTATATCAGTTTGTGTTATAAAGTCCATTGATTTTTTCTTATATATAATTAAGTTTACGACACTAGTGACTAGTGGATTTTTAAAAAAAATATATCTTAAGTACATTGTATCTCGTATTTTATACAATAATTGTCACTCTAGTGTAATTATTATTTCTCATCAAATTCTTTATACAATTGGTTTTGTCACATTAACAAGAAGAAGTCATTGTAAATAATTTATATTATTCTAATATTCTTTTCATATTTCTTGAACAATTAAAATTTGCTAGACAAATATCTGAACAGCTCTGAAAATATTACACACAATACTAACTAGAATAAAGTAACAACATACTATAAAGACGTAAAACATAATTTTATAGGCATTTAATATACTTTCATGTTTGAACAATTTATTTAACTTGAATAACTGTAAGAAATATTTATTTTTCTTCAAATTAGTAGTACTATTTTTTTGGATCTATTCTATTTTTTCTTTTTTATAACATGAAAAAATATTATTTACATATAGACACAATATAATGGAAAATAAACATTTTTTAAAGTAATAATTTCTATTTAATTTTATTTAATATTAATTATATTTAATATTATCGCATTAGTCAAATATTTAAGCATTTTTTTTTTTAAATACATGTCATTCGACATGTAAGAAAACGTAACACAATCAGTATCACACCTGATGTTGCTTTATCTCGTTGAAATCAATTAATCATACTTTCTGTTTAATAATATAACTCCATTTATATTTATATAGGTATTAAAAAAATTAGTTTACTTTTCTTTAATTAATTATCTTTATAATTAACATTTTATACAGATAATATTATGTACCTAGTACCTACCTACCATAAAATACGCATATAATCTATAGTGAGTCTCGTAGATTAGAACATTTTTCTATCCATTTTCTTCCTTTTTTTTTGTTTAGTTTTTAATTATCATAAATCAAATTTACATAATTTAGTTGTAGAACACGTTTTTATTAGTTAAACGGAATTAAAGTGGTACTATATCCCTATATAGTATAATATATTTATATGTATTACGCAGAAAAGAAATAATTATACAATAATGAAGTTGTCCCTTGTTTACGAATTGTCTTTAAATGTGCAATCTATTCTCCTTTTGTTTGCGGTAGGTACAGTTACCTACCTGGGTACCTACCTATAATTAGGTCAGAACGTGGCTTGCAGGTATATAATAGACGAGTATTGTAATGTTGTTTTTATTAATTCTGGGCAAGCAAAGGGGGTATATATTTGTTGTCCGTTCTGGTTACGATATGCCATTAGTTAATTAAATACAAACATGGTCAACTGGCCAGTGCTGTGCACGGGGGAAATATTATTACTACCTACGCACTTGGATTAAAACACCGTTTTGGATAAGCTACACCGACGGGCGTGTGTATCGTTAGGTCAGGTTTGTGTTCAAAACGAATGAAAATAACTTAAAGACAGCTTTTGGAACAGCGAAATACTGAGGGAAAAAAATGTGAAAACCATGTTATAACTGACGAAAATGCAAACAATTTAATATAATATATTATAATATAAATCAACAGACCATGTTTTAGCTTTTTAAATATGTCTGCATGTGGTCGTAAGTATAATATTTTTTAATTATTATAAACTTTAACAAACTAAAATTATTTAACCGTGAATTCAGCTGTTTTCGTGATCTTAACGGAAACATAATAACTATTATTTATTACCCACTCAAATGTTAGCCGGTAAACCACAAATTTTATGCAGGAATTAGTATATAAAATGTGCTTTCAGTGTTATCGCGTTTGAATGGCAATTTGTTCATAAGTTCAATTTACTTTAGTGCTTTAAATGGATAAACATACTTTTTGTTTCATATGTACGAATATAGAAGTTTTGAGTACCTAATATACAGTATGAAAAGAAAAGCTCTGATTAAAATTGTGTACGTTTTTATAATTCTACGAAGTATACTCAAAACGTAAACATTACTAATGTAAACTATAATAATAATATTATTGTTCCATAATTGTTCAAACATAATGTACATACATTATTAAGTATACCTACCTGTCCTAGGTATATAAAAAATACAGAACATTTGTTGGAATCGTAATGTTAAAATGCATGAATATTATTTTAAGTACGTACTCGAGTCTAGTTATTATTACTATATACGTCATAAAGTAAATTCAACATATAATAGTAGATACACCGTATAAACATCGTTATATTATTATGTTATAATTACGGTGAACGTAGTCGTAAAGAAGTACAAAATGCTCCTTTATATACAGTTTAAACCTTTATCGAACGGGAATTTATATTCGGGTCAGAATTCTAGTGAATTATTAATAAAGGCCCCAGTTGCACGTTTCGGACTGTGCATGATAAATATACAGTTTAAATGGACATGCTGGTGTATTCGATTACCTTACTCGGACCGTGAATGCCCCATAATGAGTTCTGTGAAATTAACTACAATTCACGAAAGCTTAATAATCTTAGAACTTTAAAAGAGTTTATTAATTTTTTTATGCCAGTCGTCGACTTATGAATTCGTTTTGTACATTTTACTTTGCGAGCATAATAGGTATATATATTTTTGGGCAGGATACATTTTTTCCGACCAATACAGCTGTCATGGCAACTAAACAATAACAGAGTTGAAATAAAATTAAATAAAATTAATAATGTTAAAATATTATAGTTTTTTACTTTATTAGATATTTATATTACAAAGGTTGCCCTTAGCAACCGATGAATAATATAATTACGTTACCATAACGACCAAAAAAATACCTCAAAATCTGGATAACATTTTTTTGTAATTTGTTTTTTCCTAAGGTTACCTTTAGCAACCGATGATTAATGTAACTATGTAACTATAGCAACCTATTGATACATTTTCGTACATAAATCCATTTTTTACCTTAAAGTGGAGAAAATATCAAGTTTCATGTTTTTATTATGATTTGAAATATGTAAAATGTGAACTGTTATTTTTTATGTTCATTTTCCCAAGCTTTTATATAAATTGATAGTATTATATAATAATTATATATTGTGAAACGTATAAAAAAACACAAAACAATTGTTACTATAAAATATTGAACATTTTCAATTTGTGTTAGTTAAATTATAATTATAATATCATATTGTTCAAAAATTGTGAAAACATAAAACATCATCGAGTATAATATGGATTAGTTATATAATTGCTTCAGAGGCCTTGCTTTGTTATGTATGATTTTATCACATTTAAGTTGACAACCTGGTGTGCAGACTTGATTTGATAGGTCAGTATTTTAGGACCACCATATATAATTGTTATGTAATACAGAGTTGTTGTGGATAGTTGGATGTCTTATTTAATATTTTTTTTGCTGTAAGCTGAATCTTTTCCAGAATATTGATTTGTCGTGGCAAATTAAAATAAACATTGAAATCTGTATCTCGATTTTAAAATTATGTTGAACATGGTTATTTTAACTTTTAGGTACTCAGTACTGCTTAGTATAATTTATGGATTATATTATTTTAACTAATACAATTAAGTTAAAAGGAAAAACTTGGTATATTTTGATATTGAATTGTAATATTTAAATTTTCGTTTTATAGATAAATTTGTAATTATTAGATAATTTTCAAACTTATAGAAACAATTCGAATTCTGGCATTTCAAATAGTTTAGTGCTAACATATTTTTCATTTAAGTCGTCAAATTTTGCTCCTCGTATTTGTATCCGTGATACAAACAAAATTATAATAATATAATCAAACTAAAATTATTTAGTATTCCAGAGGGGAAAAAAAAAGTATTTGCTTTTATGTATAAATACATACTTTAGGTATATATTTTTGCACTTAATTACATTTTTCCATATATACTTGAATAGTATGTATAATACAACTTGTCTGATAATTGTATAATATAATAAAATTAAAAAAAAAACAACTCAAAACCACAGACTTGAAATTCTTAATGAGATGTGAAAAAAAAACATTAAACCAATATTTGACTATAAATTATTTTATGTGTGTAACAAGAAGTATTAAAATATGTTCTTTGATGTCTTAACTTATATAATAATAATATATGACAGCCCCTGATATTTGTAAAGTATTTTAGATTCTGAGCGGAGCGAGGAAGCTATTGGTTTTACAATGGTGTTTATTTATTTTTTTTTTTTTTTTTATATCCTGTATAAAAAATTTCTTCCAGAAGGAGTTTTTTGATTTCAACATATAGTAGCTTATATTTTAGCAAATTGGATCAAGATGGTACTTTAAACAGGTCATTTTTCGATTTTATCAATAGTTATTTAATGCCCAGGTAAAAACCACAGAAAAATTACGAAAAACCTCTTAAAATTGGATTTCAATTTCTAACGCTTTGTTTATTACCATAGAAACAAATAAAAAATAATAATATTATAATATTTATTCAACTTACATGATATAATAATTAATTTCAATATTAAATATCTTGACTGACAAACCGTTTCCGCTGAGAATCGTTTTTCTTATACAATGATATTATATCATTGAATTCAAGTTTAATACAATCCATTATACATTGACGCACTTGTAATCTACTGTACAGCAGAGCGACATCAACTTACCTGTTAATAATATTGTTTTGCCTAAACGTACAGTGTTACACGGCGCGTCGTATAGGCAATATAGGTACTCAAATATGCTGATAAACATTGAAAAATAATGGTTTATTGATTTATGTTATTCATTCGCGTATTACTTAGATAAAATTATGGAAGCCAAGTACATTTACCCGGTAGATATTTACTGATTAGGTAAATTAATAAATTTTTTTACCAATAATTAAGAACCCTTTTTACTGTGAAACTGATTTTCACGCTGAAAAATGTCCGTGATGCGTAATACAACAATTATTTGATCAACTATTACGTTTTTATTCCTACTTATAACATCTAGAAGTAAGTATCAAACAAACCTAGAAAGTTAAATATATTCTAAAATCATAATTATCTTAGTTTGTCAAGTATGTTTTTTAAATGTATGCTATGGTTTAGAAAATATAGAATTTACATTTCGTAGTTCTGCATTAAGGAAAGGAGATGTGTACCTGCAAGATGAGTGTGACCGCATGGCTTAATTTTACGTCGCTAGTATTATTATCTAATGTTTCTATCCCTTTATGTTTCGTAGTTGTAGTTCGTTTATATGAATCTGGCAGACAAGTAATGTATAATAGACCGCTTTAAATATAACCAACATGAAACATAATTGTTAGTTGTTACGTTCTTATTGTTCTATGATATTATTTTTAATTATTAGTTCATTTTAAAATTTAAATATTTAAGCCAGCATGTCAACATTTTTCGTAATAAATTAACAAGGTATATTAGTATTTTAATACGCTAGTGCAGCACCTGTTTTCAATCAAATTAATTCTTCAAAAAAAATGAAATGGATATGTAAATATTGTCAATACAAAATATAATAATAATAAAAATAAAAAGGGAAACGAAAAATACTTACCAAAAAAAAGTGAAAGTCAAATGGGCAGATATCCAATGAGTTCACGGAAAAATGTTCACCTATAACATTTATAAGATATTTCTCAATCCTCGATTTTTTTTTTTTTACATTATTCATATATGGAGGTTTATTATTTATAGGTACTATGAATTCATGTGGATTCAGTTATTTTTATTTTTTTTATTGTTTTGTCTGATAAAAATCCATAAAACATATAATTATGATAAAAATATGATAAAAATATGATGATAAAGTTTTAATTTAGATCATAAAGATATTAACAGAATTAGTTCTACAAATTAAACGAATTAAATACGTGGAATAAATAAAATAACGATCAATTGTGTACCAACAATATGACAATTTTCGACGGTGAAACAAAAATAAAGAACAATAATTTTAATCTGTCGAGTAGAGACCAAGCTTCGTCGCCTCATCATTCAAGATATGATAAAATGTAACAGTTAATCTTTAACGATTCACAGTTTTACACAGATATACAACAATAATAAACATTGAATGTAATTTAAAAGAGAATAAATGTGTGTGGTGTGTATATAAAGTTTTGTGATTAGTATATTTAAAAAAAACTCTGACGTAAAGTAAAATATTACTGAATAATTAACAAAACAAGGAATTGGAAGTTAGAGTTGTTATTATATTGCTACACTATACAATTATAACAGTAAGGTTTCAAGTAAGTTTTTTTAAACTCTTTTTAGTCACCTGTATTCTCGTAGGTAAAGTAGGATGGCCATACTTTGTGCCCCCCTAAATTGCACCGGAAAACAAGTCCACAATTAGTGCCAATAAAAGCGTCCTGATTGTTATTCAAGCATAAGCACGTGGCCGCTACACCATCAGACAAATATCTGAAATTGTTAATGAGCTTACATAATAAGTTATTTATTGTAAAACGATAAGACAATATTATGTTTTCATACCTAGGGACATTTTTATTGGCATTGATGGTTTGCGTTTTAACCAGTCTCACGGAACTCCAAGGTGCAGTGCCGGCACTTTTGTTTTCTGAAATTTCGGAAACGTCTGCCCAACTATCCACGACCGTCCATACGGCCAACACAAAATCTTCATCCAAGCTACAAAGCTAAAAACACGATTCGTTAACTATACTTTTTGCTTTTATTTTTTTTTTATTTGTTAAGAAATACTTAGACAAAATGAGAATACAACATTATGAAAATTATACATTTTACGGGAATGGTAAAGTATGCCGATTTATAAACACCCACCTCGTCTGGTAATTCTTCGTTAGTCACTTTGTTGTATGTTACAGTGCTTAAGCCAACAATTTTCGACCTATGACCTTGGTCGATTGACAACGCTAAACAAATTCAAACAGCGTCAATTCATATAATTTGGTCATTTTGTGTAAGATTTTCTAATTTGCGATATACCTGTATTGTAGGACGGTGAACGTAGTGGACATGGGAGACCGTTGACTTGCTGATGATGCAATTTGGATTCTCTTAAATCCCACAAGCATATACTCCTGAAAGTTACAAGTTTTTTTTACTGTACGTTATGCGGCATATCATTAATTTCTTTGATGTAATAACAATGAATTCAATATTTCATAGTGTGAGGAGGCTGTATGACATAAGCGCCAAAGGTGCAAAAATGACGTACCATTTGAGCCAAGATTAATATTTTATATAAGTAGTTATTTAAAAATGTCGATCTTATAAGAAATTATCAATAATAGATTGTTAAATTATTATAATATACATACAAATGAATATAATTGTAATAAATCAGTTGATTTTTTCGAGCTTATAGAAACATGTCAATAATAAATCTATTAACCATGCCACACTAGGATTTTGGCGCTTACGTACAATTCGACTTTTTTTTCTTATCTCATTTTGGCGCTTATGTCTTACACCGTATAATATTTATGCAGTACTCGTGTTTTAGTCGACAATCTAGTAGCAGTTTAAATATGTGTTACCATAGTAATAATACGAAATAACTCGTAAAAATAAGAACAAGTAAAATGAGTTCAAGAATCGATAGGTGAAATAATTTTAATACCTATCAGTCATGTTACATTTATAAACTTTAGATTGTACCTTCAATTGTGTCATAAATTTATATGGTAGGTATATCATACTATTGAATAATGAATATTATAATTTGAATTATGTTATTTAAAAAATTGTTTTAATAAAATAGTTAATTATTCTGTTAGTACGAGTTAAACATCTGTCAATGTTTCAGTTAGCTATAAATTATAATGAGCTAACTCGAATATATACTTATATAAGTAGAGTTATACATTTATAATTTATAGTGATTTTGAAGTTATCTTAAAAATAATTTTCGCAGTACCCAAAACACAATTATATTATAGTCTTATTTAATAATGATGTGTAGTGGTTCATAATTAATTGGTTGTCTTTGAAAACACAAGCATATCAATATTATAGTTTAAAAAGGTTAAATTATTGAGAATACAAAGTCAAGTAACATGATCATACTAATTTTTAAATTGTTTTTATTATGATTAATTATTAATTTTAATTATAATAACCATTAACCACCGGTATTAAATTCTAATCGTTTTTTTTTAGACTCCATTCAAACAAATCGTTGTACAACTTCATTGTTAATGTCTTAATATGTTTTATTATAAAAGTTACATTTTTGTTGACATTTTAATAAAAATGATATTTTTAAAAAAATGTATGATATAAAACCCGTGTATTATTGAAATCGCCCGCTATTCTATAATTTAAAATTTAAAAAAACATTGAATGCATTTTAAAATGTTTAATGTTTTTATAGTCAAAACCTAGATGGCGCCACATAATTCTTAGTAGGTGTATAATATTTTGTTCGCTCTTGAATCAAGACTTGATGTGTATTATTAATTTAATATACCTATTTATTTTATTATTTTAAATTTCCATTTAAACAAAATTTGAATTTGAATATATCATTATTAAGTTATTAATGTAAAATATAACTAAATATCAATCTTATTGTAGACAACTTTGTAAATATTTGTCATTTTTATACACCATTACTAAATACTTTCATTCTAACATTATCCATAATATATTTGTTATATAAACATCTCTCTAAAATTACTTAATTTAAAGTAATATTTTAAGTTTTAATTTACTTAGTTATTATTTTAACAATTAATTTAAAAAACAAATGCACCAAAATGTAGATTACAACCATATCAGGTAGTAGGTACCTACATAATTAATAATATGTATTTTACCCATCTACATGTGCAGCTGTCACAAATCCTATAGTAGACTTGAAAATGGTGCAAAATGATGTAACATGGTTAGGGCACTTAAGAACATACTGGGGATGTTCTGTAGTTGATACACTCCAGATACATATAACATATTGATAAACTGAATCCATTACCTGAAAAAAAAACATCTTACAACTATCAAGTAGTCCATACAACTTGATTATTTAAATTAAAATAAAACATATTATTCCAATTAGATTTTAACTAATATTCAATCACAATAATTCAAATAGTCAACCACCAATTGTCCACAAGTATTAATTTATTTCAAATGTAGATGACATGTTAGGTTTCAGTTTTAAATTGTCTGAGCCATTATTCGGTATAATTTCTAACTGATATAACTCTATAACACAATGCGTATTTCAGTAATTAATAATTTAATGTAGCATACTAGCATACAAATACTGCTACAGTTACTATATAATATATATTAATAAATAAATAGTGGGCTCACTAATAATAATAATTTTATCATCGTGATATTATATTAACTATATCAGTACTATATTAATACTTGTATCATCCAGTAAACTAGCTGGTACCTACATACTTTTTATTTTTGGCATAAGTTGTTTCATTATTTTAGTTTTTATAAACTTTATTTTTCGTTAAAATAAAATGGTAAAATTTGAATACAAATAATATTACTCAAAATAAAAATGAAAGGAAATTATTTGAACTTAAATGTAACATATTATTATACTATGTATATGATACGTACTTCATGCGTTGTAATAAGTGACTCGACATTTGACGTAACCCTCGAAAATTCTATGGATGTGACTGGACGTTTTGCAAGGAATTTCAAGGAGGAGACTGCCGTGCTTAGGTAGCCATTGCTGAAGCCCATGTCGAAGTCATTAGCCACTAGCCTTTGTTCAGATCGATCCATCGACTGCTGTTCCAACATAGAAAGCATCATTCGGCCGACCTCGATCACTCGGTCAGGATCTACCATGGTGATGTGTGTTCGGAGACGATTATCAGGTGGTTCATTACCACCGACGCCCCGTTTCGCCTGTAACAAAAATAATCGATTAAAAGCTTCAACATTTGCTACTATTAGACAAACGTGCAGATACGATCTAATATCTACAACACATTAAACGTACATACTAAATAGTAAATATAACTAACAAGTGTGAACAGACGAATGAGTTATGGAACAAAATTAAAATAAATTAAGCTTTTACAAAAATCCACTGTCTAGTTTGAATTCCACTTCTTCGCTCGTATTTTTTTATGGACTATAAAAATCAACTAGGTATCGATTAAATCAAAAAATAAAATGAATTGGCTATATTATGAAAATAAAAACGATATTCAATTAAAGAGGAAATATTAAACATAAATTAGAAAATCAATAAATACCCTCGAATACCTAACAGAGTAGTTATAGCAGAAAAACTTGAGAACACAATAATATACCTATAAATTATATTTAATTTTTAAAAATTTATTAAAATAACGGTAAAATTATTTTTAAATAAATTCAGATAAATATAGAAAATGGTTTGATTAATATATTTTATAGAGTTGTGAATTTTCCGATGTGAATAAATGTGGTTTTGTTTCAACTTTGAAATCGGCCATTCAATCAAGCTATAATAATATACGATAAACTATTAACGATTCGAACGATGCACAAAGTTATAGATATATTACTTTGTATTATAAACCATTTCAAAATATTTTCGATGAATATACCATAGTCACGAAACTAACATATTTCAATTTGTCATGAAAGTCTATTACCACGAAAATAAAATCCATAACCGCAATACTGATACAAAACCCAAAAAATAATAAATACATACATCGTATAATTTTTGTGTACATATTATTTGTAATATAAAGGCATATTGATAGGTAAATTATATATTATGATAGTTTTGTCTTACGTAATTCTGTAAATTACTATCATACAAGAAACGATTCTGATCAAATGTAATATATATAATATAGGTACATATATATATATGTATTATGTACCTATAATATGTATATGATATTTTGTCACGGGAATAGGTTCTGTAACCTTATATCCAATTATCAAATGGTTTTTCTTAATTTATAGAATACACGGCAGAGCATTGTTTCAATCCAGTGAATCCTGTCCCAGGAAAATTGACCAATGAAATAGAAATACCCGTAGCACCATCTCCACAATTTTTAAAGAGGTGTTTTATTTATTAGTTATATATTATACCTATTAGACGTCTATATAATAAAAATTGAAACTGATTTCTGTTGGCAACCGAATCACTTGAGAATGGCTGGATAGATGAGACTCATTTTTTCGTAAACGGTCGTAATATTCTGATTGGGGTTTTTATGAAAAGAAAAATTAGAAAAATTGAGAAAAGTTGACAGATCTTTTTTCAATAGGATTTTTCTACAAATGGTTTTTTTTTTAAAAATATTTTCCTTATTTGTTACAAATTATGATACACAACACTCTTGTGCACCGAATATTAGATAACAAATCAACTAATGTTTGGATTATATAAGATTTGCCATTTTTTACGGCAACGTAGTGCACGGGGTCAGGTGTATATAAAAGCGAAAAACATAGAACCAAGAAATCACACAAATACGAATACAAAAAAAAAACTAATTTGCTGCTTTATAAAGAGTCTCGACACCAAGATTACAAATTAATGAAATTATGAGATAAACAATTAAACTATTTTATTGTTTTTATAATTAAAACTCTTTATTGAAGAATTAGAATTTTAGATTTATAATATCAGTTTTTACATTTTTAGTATATACACTAACATATACATACATATAGTTTATTTGAATTTTTTTCGTTTTGATTTTAATGTTCATAATTATGTATTATAAATTATAATTCATTTATTTAGAAATATACTAAACATTTTTTTTTTACTTAAAAAAAAACAAATTCTGGGAAAGTGGACACCACTTTGTTGTATATAAGGTGTCGTGTGAGGAACTATAAAAGATGAATTAAATTATATAAAATCATTGTATATGAAAAACGATTCTGGACGAAGAGTGAAGACCGCAGTAGACCCCAGAAGACCTAAGGCTGACATGTCTATCAGCCTATATTTTATGATATTATTGTTAGTTTATTTTATTATTAGCAATACGGTAGGTTGAATTCGATTTTTCTATACAAATTCCATTTTAAAATCTCATTGTGTGTAAAAATATAAACATCAAAGTTAAAAATTTTTATTCCCCGTTTAAATATCAAGTTCGCCGAAATTTAACTTAAAATATCTACATATCTTAAGAAAAAAAACTGTGGTTGTATATTTTTTAGATTTATTAGTTAAAATATAAACTATTTAATATTTATGAGATACCTTATTTAAAATTTACAAGTTTTTACTATAAAATTTAAACTTTTTTACTTTTTAACCACAATTTTGTTTAAAATAAATCGTGGTTTTGATGAATCTTGTCAAAGTTTGAAATTTAAATGCTTACAAAACCATATCCATATATGCTTAACATTTTTAAACAGCCATTATATCAGCTTATGAAAAACCTTATATTAAATTGTCAAGCTTTTTGACCCAATACATTTTTTTTACTGATGTTTATAGAAAAAATTAAAAACTTGAAAAATTTTAATTAAAAATGCCTAAATAGCTCATTACACATAAAAAAACATTTTCATCATATTTTATGAAATGATATGGTTATATCAACATTTATTGAAATTGTATAGAATCTATGGTTATTCATTTTTGATGAAATCAAAAAAACAAAATCAATTTTGTCAAGAACTCCAGCCTTTTTTTTACGACGATATTTTTGCATTTTACCCACTAAAGTACCAACAAGACTCACTTTTTTCTCAAAAAGATACTGAAGTAGAAAATCATTGCATTTTTACTATTCCAAAAAGGTAATAACAGACACAAAAAAAATACACAACATTTTAAAATTAATACATTCATTACTCTGCTCAAAATCAAAATCAAAGGAAATCCCTCATGTTGGATAACCCAACATGAGTAAACCTGAGGGATTTCCTTTTATATAGGGATTATTATATTAATTGTATAGTATTATTGTATTAAACATAATAGGTATTGGTAATCACTACTAATGCAATGAACTATAAACAGATTTATAATATTAAGAACTTATTTATTTATAAGTGATGCGTATTATCGAGATTTTTTATTTACTCTCAAATATTCAATTGATGAACAGTTCATATCATTTGTCAAGACTATGGGATGTTGAGTCCATTTTTCGGCTAAATCGCTTTCATTAGTTTGTACTTCCTTCTCCGCATTTTCATCACGAGTTTGTGTTTGAACCTGAAAATGTTAAACTATTTTAATGATGAACCTTCAGAACACATCTATTAATTTTATTTTTATAATAATTTGTTTCTAAAATATGTCTTATCATATTTATTTGGTTTAAGTGGTAAAAAAATGCACTGTACCTTGGTCGAGTAAAAATTCATTATGATAATATTTTTAGTATTTTATACTAAAATATTTTAATTTTACCTGCGTCATGTTTGAACGTCCGTAAATTTTTATATATTGTTCATAAGGTATCGCTGGCAAATCAAGCAGTGTAAAGCTAACAGTGTCCAGCTTAATCATCCCCATCAAAACATTTCCCCTAGTTTGGATTTTGTCCTTTACCTACATTTAAATTTAACATTAAAGTAATTTTTATCATAATGTACAGATTGGACATACTTCTTGTTCACGCTTCCTCTTTCCGGCAGTCTTAAAGTTTTTTAAGCCCATTTCAATGGTCCGTTCTAACGAGTTTATTTCAAATTTTTCATCCAAGAATGGTTCCAATTTTTCTTCCACACACACGGGAAGCGCAAACTTAACACTTACTGTGTCATTTGATATTGATTGGCTTACGATGGTTGGTTTTAACGGCGATTCAACTACTAACGAGTCAACCGAAGTATCAGATTCAAAGTCAGATTCATAATCCTTAAAATATGATTGTATAGTTAAAAAAAATATAGTTTTTATTTTGTTTTATTTTACTTCAAAGTCATCTTCATAATCTTGGTTATCTGATACGTCTGATGAATTGCTGTGAGCTGTAGTACTATTGTCAACGTCGTCAATTGGTTTTTCTTCTTTGTGTAAGATTTTATTTTCATTTTGTTTGATACTAACTTTTACGTGTTTGTTCTTAACATCGACCGGGAGTTTTTTAAATGTACTAACACTTCGTTGCAGTTTTTCTACTTTCGCAAATGGGTGGGTGTTATGTTGATCTTCTAAATATTTTGAATAAAATTTACATTTTAATAATATATTCTGCTTGTGACATTTTTGAATATTTTAAACATTATAATATAAGCCTAGATTTTTCTTATAACATATAATATAATCATATAATAATATGAATAAATGATAATCTATTTATTATTATAATACCTTCATTTTTATTTTGAAAGTCAACATTTACTTCAAATTAGTATTTTAAACTCCTTGAATAATGAACCGGGTTGAGTTGAACATACTATATATTATTATGAAAATAATTTGAACAAAAATAATTATTTTCGATAGGTCAATAATTTTAAATCATTAATTTTATACTATATATATATATATATGTATATTATTCCACAAAAAAAATGTGCATATTTTCATTAAATATAAGTGTAATAAATAAATCAAAGAATATTCAAATAAAAAAAACAATGTCTTACATTTCATATCAATAATTGTCATTTATATTGCTTTAGAGCAACTTTTATCTTAGTGTAGGCCTTACCGTTTGCCATCTAGGTACGTATAGAATGATAAAATGAAAAGTATATTATTCCAGTTACATATATGTTTAGTCATCCAACAATAGTAAAAATGATCATTAAGCAACAACAAAAGCCAATACAAAGTGGTTTCTTGTGTTTGTTCAGAAAATCCACAGTAAGAATTATGGTTCTGTTTACAATTATTAAGAAGAAAAAATAACTACGCCGGTCTACGATACGGTCCAATGAAAACTTGAACCAATGGCCAAGAAAACAATATTAAATTGTATTTATAAATGGAAACAGATAAGAGTAATCGTAGTTCAAGGGAGAACGGGCAGTTAAAACATTCAAGAAGTAATCTCAGTTCAGAAAACAATCGAGTTGTACAGATCGAAAAGCTTGCAAAAGATCTAGTTCAGATTACCTAGTAGTACTGGTACAACGCGTTTTACCTCCGACCAACAATTATAATATTTTCCATTTAATGATGCCAATATCTGCATCCACGTGTCTTTGAAATATTATAACCAACCAGGTTATATTATAACGAATTTATTTAAGACGGATTTTAATAACACAATATTTATTGTACCACGCATAAAAATATATTCATTTTTGTGTGACACTTTGTAGGTAACATTAAACCTTGTTCCACAGAAGCCATCCACTTAATTATTAATACCTACAAACATTTGGTAACCTTTTTTTCAGAATTTGATAATTTTTCAAGCCAAAAATAAATGTACTGTTTTATGTACCGACACAGATGTGCATAGAATTCCGATAGGCATAATTAATAGGTAAATAATAGGTCGAACTTAATTCGCCAAGCAATTCACATTTTTAATCGTATGCAACTTATTGAAAATCTATATTCTATGTTGGATTTTTTCATTATTTACAAAAAAAATGTGGTCCAGAACTCGTAGGGGGTGCAACAAATATACAATATGCTCACCTAACCTTGTACAAAAATACAAATAATAACCATTTGACTTCATCATATAGGTACCTGCCGAAATAAATAAGGAGTTTGGGTTACGGTATCAAAATAATGATATAATTTGTAATAAGAGATGTAATATGCAGATCGAAAAATATTTTGGGTTTCTGACTTTTATATTAAGTATGTCTTCAAAAGACAGATCGTTTTATGTATAAAAATATCAAAGAATAAAAAAAAAAATGAAAAAATGGAAATAGTCGGAAGTATGGAAAATAGGATGGATGTAAGTTAAATATTAAAATATTGTGAGACACTAAAACAGATTTAAAACTTAAATGTATATCCAACGGCAAACACTATTATATGAGTATCATGTCCGAAAATATTACTGCCTAATTGTCGAGATATAATTTATGAAATATTTTATAGAATTTACATCCACAAATATTATAATAAATTATAATAGAACGTGCTCTGGCTGACTGAGTGTCCAAGGTAGAGCTTAAACTATCATACCTATAGACTTTAAATTGTCATGATAATATCTTCGTACCACAGTATTATAGGGGCGTACTAACAATGAATTTTACAAAATTCGTATTGTAAAGAGGCAATCAAGCAGGGATTTTGAGAACATTTAAAAATGTTAATGTTTATGAATGTTTTCCATTGTTTACTGATCATAATAATTATAATAGTGGAACAACTAATCACTATTTATTTTTGTTTTATAAATGGTCGCCATTAGTTACTCAGACAGACAATTATGTATTACGGGGTGGGGGAGGTTAGTGGAAATAGGGAATGAATGATAGGATAATTTTATTGCCATTTAAGTACCTGTAATAAACTTATAAATAATATAAATACGAATCCAAAAAAATACTTTATATTCATCTACTATTATTCGGCAAATAAAAAATTTCATTTTGGAAATGTTAAGGTAATTATAATTTAAGTGAATACAATATAATATTAGAACATTACTGTTAGTACCTAAGTAGTAATTAGTGGACTAATAAAAGAGGATTAAATAGTTTATAAAAAAGAAACGGTAGTGAGTAATTCTGTCATTCTGTCACTAAAATTTTATATATTTATTATATTTTTTTGAAAAAATAACGTTTAAATGCCACATATTTTATTATTCTTGCATTTATGGTCACAAATAAACAAATTATATCTAAACAAATATAAGATTTTATTTATCATTTTTCTATATTTTTGTTGCCTATAAACTCAAAAACTACCTGACCGTTTTGACCAAATTGCAGAGATTGTTCTTAGAGATATCAGGGAAGTTTAGAGAGTACTTTGAACCACGTTCAGAAATATACCAAGAGTTTTAATATTTGAACTCAATTACACTAAACCCGAGATACGCTGATACAATGCCGTATTGTATAGTAATGTATTGTTAATTTTTTCCTGACAAAGCTTAGTTATACTGCTATGCTATTTTATTTTATTAGTATCTATAACTGATAGGACTACAATAACTATACTAATATATTTATTTTAAGTACATAAGTACCAACGTGATCATCTAATTTTTGATTCTAACTTAATTTTAGGAGTGTAATAAATTCGAGTTGGTTATATAAAAAATCATGTAATATTACGTGATTTTAATATTTATAATAAATTTATAAAACATGATTATAATTTAATAATAAAACAAAACAAGAAGCAGGTATTATAAATAGTTATTTTTTTATTATTTATACCTAATATAAATTATATTTAAATGAATTGGTAGCCAGAATTAATCCGACAAGTTGTTTGAATGTATTCATTGTCCAAGGCTTAAAACTATTTTTGTTTGTAAACGTTTTTTTTTTACGTTACTCTAAATTTTCTTTGTTTTTCTTTTCAATCCTTTATTTACCAACCTTTGTTTATTTATTTAAATTTTCATTTATACTTTCTAAAAGTATAAATTTATATCACGCGTATTATCATCAAAGAGAGCATAAACACTAACTGGAATTATTAAATATAATTTGACGCTAAAACTATTCATTTTTATTTTTTATGATTCATTAATGAGTACCATTGTAGGAATATTATTATTTATAAGACTCTTCAAAAATATTTTGGATCTAAAATAATATAATTTTTATTTCATGTGTTTTTCTTCTTTCCTCTTATTAATATATTATGTAATATGATATAAAAAAAACTAAAGCATCGTCAATTGCTTAGCGTATATATACGGGAAAATATATAAACACACTTAAGCAGTACCGTAGACAGGAATTTAATATTGGTTGGGGGGCAGGTATCATAAAAATTACATATTATGTAATAAATACAATTATGTACTTGCCGTGATGTAAGGTGCGTTCAACCCCCTAACCCCCCTCCCCTCCACGACTACGGTCCTACCCTTAGGTACGTACCTATATTTTATTTTTTAACTCTACAGGAAAATAACTGGATATTTTTTTCGATAATACAAATATTGTGAGCTCTAACGAATGATTCAAACCACCTTTATATACCTTTGTATAGTGTTTGTACTTTATATCGATTGAATGTTCGCTAATATGATTTAGGTGATTGTGCTGTCCATGGGGAAGTATTACCCTATAGCCTCTATCCACTCCTCCCCCAACACCAAAGACCCTAAACGTTAGAAAGTAATAATATCGACGACGACCACATATTATCATGATCGTTATTATGTTCGTAATATACTAATAATATTAATATATTGTATGAGATTATCGGAATATTGGACTGAGAGACGGTACCAACCGTCTTTTTGGCAATACTGACTGTTTCTGATCGGTGGCGCAGTCGGCGGCGCGCCGGTAGTCTTTACCGCGGGCACCGGTACGTTCTTTTTGCCGGTTACCGCCGTTACCGCTGGCCTGGTTCGACTTGGCGCTGCTGGTTGTGCGGTCGACTTCTTCGCCGGAGTACGGGCCTGAAAACAGATAATCCGTTTCAAATTAATACCTACCATGAAAATTATAAAAACAACGGTAGCATGATAATATCCGGGTCTCACCGTTGCCGCCACGAATCCGTTAAAATTTTCGACGGTCCTCCGGGCCATTTTGGACGAAATTGACCGGCGCCTCGGGATAACGATTTTACAACAATATCGTAAAGTAAAAAATACGTTGTGTTTTACCAGCTGTCCTCGGGTGCTCGAAATCCCACTAATATATTATAATATACCGCGGTATGTGTACATGACAACCGTTTGTTGTGCGACCGCTGGCCGTGGCGACGGCGATACCTGCCAGTGGCGGCGTCAAGAGGTTATAATAATATGCTTTATGGGTGGGTAGGTGGGCACCCAAATCGTAGTGAACATAATATTATTATATGCCACACATCCGTCAATATCCGTAGGTAATGTATTTTTATAGTGTTGTTTTGGACGTTGAGCTAGTAGATTTCACGCAGTTCTAATCAATCGTATGTGCGTAGATAATTAGTAATGATATTAATAATTGTAATATTTACGAGTACGTAGACTTTTGTAAAAATTGTTGTAGTACACGATAAAAAAAACAATTATCACTTGAATCAAAAATTGAATTTGGAAAATGGTTTCCAGTATAATTAAAGAAAACGAGTCAAATAGATATTGTGAGAACGTTGCATACGCCAGAATAATATTATAATATGTATACGGACGCTCTTATACCAATATGATTTACGAAAATGGACATTTTTTTTCTGGAAAATGGCCAGCTTGCATAAAAAACCACAATATTTATATTTTTTATTTTCTGATAATTATATACAAATAAAAGTACATTCAGTTCTGTTAAGAGTACCTAAGAGAAAAGAAGATTACAATATGAACGAATGAACAATCGAAAATGTTTTGCTCTGCACTAAGTTTCAACTGCCATATTTTATGTAAATCATTTTGATAGTGATTTTTTGATAATAATATGTCACTGTGTTCAAATAATGAGTTTTTTCTTGTCTGTTATTTTTTCGAGTAGAATGATTGCTGCAAACAGTTTATGTATAAGACATAGGTATATCAATATATAACGTATAAACATATCGAAATATTGAATAGATTATTTTCTAGTTTGTGCTAGAAGTTATTCTCTGATAGTTTCAATGTATAAGTCATAATCGTAATAAAAAACGACTAAAAAATTACCAAAAAAAATTGTGACATTTACAGCATTAACTAACTAGAATTTCGTATAAATGATCTATGTAAGTCTAGTACAGGCGATAAATAAATTTCAAAATCAATGAAAGTACTTTTAAAATATAATGTATTATATTGAAAAAGTAGATATGTAGAAAATATGTCACTTTATAAATTATATACTTCCTTTCCACATTTTGCTCAGAATTTTAAATCTCGAATAGTTATTCAACTATACTTTTTTTTAAATACAACAATTAGTTGTGACATTTAAAACTAAATTTTAATATTTTCACAAATAATATCCAGTTAAAGTTTTATTTTTTATTATAACTTTTGATTATTAAATTCAATTTTGACATTTTAATAAATGGTAATGGAATAACAAAATTAAAGTTGTTAATAAAATTATTTTTTTTTAGAGATTTAAACTAAAATTTAGCAATGTTTGAATATCGGTGAATTTTGTAAATTATAATTATATTGTTTGAATAAAATTGTTTTATAATTTTATAGAAAGGTAATTTAATTAAACGATTATCATTGGTTATATGAAAGTTTGGCATTTTAATTTAAGGTTATTCATATTATATAATATTAAACTTCACTGGATATTAACATTGTTAGTAAAATGTATTATATAATTTTTTTTTTTTATAATAGTCACTTAACAATTGGTTAATGTTGGCACGATATGGTGTGTTATAATTATTATTATACCGGATCGGGTTTAGAATCGATTTTTCTTTCGAATTTGAATGATTTTATTTTGTACTATAACATTGTAGGAGATGAGCTTTCGAACGAATTGAAAACGAAAATATCTAGTAAAATGATATACAATCAAAATAAACAATGTGCTGTGTCGGTATATGACGTTATGGTATATTATGCATATTGTTATTCTCTACAACGGACACCTGTCCAATATACCACACCGTTTGTACCTACGATAGATGTCCCTTGGACGAATTCGGTTTCACCGTGACTGGTCGTTGTAATATTATCGTAGGTAATATATCGACGAAAATTTAGTCGGCAGCCGGGACAACACAATAAAACAGGGTTACGGAAATCGGCTCGACAGGATGTGTACACGGCTCGCACGCAGATACGTTAGACCGATAAAAAAACACGACGCTGCCATCGAGTATAGTAGGTACAACATAATATATATATATATATATATATATATATACATAATATACAATATATAATAATATAATATAATGTACGTGCACCGTTGGCATTGACCGGGCCACCACCGCCGACGATCACTCAGGTGTGAATCCTGCCGTATGCAGATACATATACGTACATAATATTATATTATGTGTAATACCTGTGCCGCCGGGAATTACATATTGTTTTATTTTTTCGGTCTACGGGTGCACCTACAGGTATATAATATTATATACGCGTGTACAATGTGTAGCATAATGTACGAGTTAATTCCATTGTGCCACGCATTGCGATAAAACGTATTGTTGGTACTCGATATGTGCGCTCAAGTGCTCGGACACATACGACGTTATTATAATACCTACCTATATATTTTATTGTAGAACGGGGTGCAAATATATCCGGTTAATCTCCTCCGTCCACCGGTTTCAGATCGGTGAACGATCGTTTCGGCTGGACTGTCACTGTTGCAGTAACATATATTCCGCAGTCGTCACGAATTATTTGTTGTCGTTACCATTATCATATTATTATTATACGATCGTCATCACCATCCATTGACGTCGTCGGGTGTGCCGACCAGGAAGTAATAATAGTCGAAATAATTTTTTTATTTTTTTTAAACCCAAGCGGAATTAGTCAAAAAATAACAAACTGACTAAAACATCAATGCCTATACCCCACCGCCACCGGACGAAGAAGGAAACGCTGTTTGAATGCGCTCGTCACGTCATATTATTGTATTTTATTTTAAAAAAACATCGATAATGAAAATATTGCGATCCATTGAAAATTCGAGATTTATCAATCAAAATCTACAAATTCATTATGATTTTCCTTACATAGAAAAAAACTGCGCCATCTACGACTATTGGCTGTCACATATAATTACGTATTTTTTAATCCCTATAAGAAATACTTAAATGGAACTTTGTATTTCATTTTCAAGCTTTTTTATATTTACAAACAAACATTGTATCATACATAAATTATATAAAAACTAGCAAAAGTAGAACACTACAAATATATCTAACAAATAATAAAAAGCAACTAAAATGTTTATAAATTCAGAAAATATGCCAAAATAATTGGTAGAAAATTAAGGTACTAAGGTACTGTATTTAAAAAACAAAACTATAATAATAGGTTTATAAGTGTTAATTATATTACAATACCTAAACATGTATAAAAAACGGAATTCAGCTAAAAAGTTTGGGTCATAATGTATTACAATGATTTAAACAATTTCTAAGCCATACATAAAATAATATTACCTATGTCAAATAAAGAAATTAACTTAAAAATTATACCTGTTCCAATTTATAACCAACTAATTTTACGCATAGGTAATTACACGTTATCAGAAAATTATAGTAGTTATCCTTTACAAATTATGTATTCATACTTTCTTTATATGTATGAGTGGGTCGTCATACAACAACAGCATAGTTCTATTATAAGATATAGGTACATAGTTTTTTTTAGATCAAGTCGCAACATTTCCTCGTTACCATAGACAGTATTTATTTTGTGCATTTCAAGTTGAATCCCACACACAATTTTCACTGATTTTCGATTGTACACATCGATAGAGCTCTTCGTCGTCGTCGTCGTCATCACTCGTCGTCTATACCTTTAATAACTGTTTACAATATTTGAGTCTCAGATATTAATATTATGTGCGTCGTATACGTACAGTAGTTGTGCAACAAAAATAGTTTTATGAACGAACAGCAATAGTATCACACAATTCTCTTGTCTAGTGCTTATTGTTCGAACGCACACAATCGGCCCCGGAAAATTACCGCATAAGTAGGTACAGCTATAGTATACGCATATTACCTACCTTTATGCGTCTTATCCGGAGCGTTATCGGAACATTAACATTTTGCTTGCGCTGTCGTGTAGCCATGGCATATAATATTATATCGTCGGGTTTGCGCGTGTTACGGGTCCGTCATGTATTTTTACGATACTCGATGTGTGTGTGTGTGGTGTACGGAAATACGATTTCGGCCACGTGGACGAGAACCGTCCATGAAATAACGTTTACCGTACAACAAACTTTAAATCCTGATGGTTTGAAAACGACCATAACAAGCACCCATGTATACCCATCACACGACACATATTACAAGCAAGTACCTATGTGTTATAAGCGTATATCGTTAGAAATATCACAAAGTATATGTAGATATATTTACTCGAGGAGATGGATTCTCTATATTATAAGAGAACAAACTCTAAGACGACCGCGACGTTATATTTAATCGAGGAGAAAAACATCCGCATGACCTATACACACGATCGTCATTTGGACTTCAATGAGCAAATATACTGACATAGAAATATAGGTAGGTTAGGTAGTCGCCAACCACTGAATTACGTCCGGTGTACCCACATTATTTACCACGTGACATCTTATACCTTCCCCGGTAAAATCTCTACTGAAATTTTACCTCCCCCGGTAAATTGTCTATAGGGAATATTTACCACCAGGTAAAGTATTCCGGGGGTAAAGTGTAGAATATTTACCGGGGAGTTAAATTGCGCCGAAGAAAGTTTACCGAGGGGGTTAAAATTTCACGAGGGTAAATTAAATAAATAATCTATTTAAATAATTAATTAAACAATCTTGGTTACACTGGCGTATAAGTGCCTGGAACTAGAATCGGATTTTGCATACTGAGCTTGGATTACAAATTCCAAATTATTTTACAAATTAGTCACAAAAAAGTCTGATTTCAAAA